CATGAAAGTTAGATCTTTTGTTACAGTCCCACAGGTCTCTGAGGCTGATAAACTGTTTTAGACTATATTTTCTCTATTGTTCAGATTGAGTAATTTCTATTGTTCTGTCTTCCACTTACTGATTCTTTTCTCTGTTCCCTCCATTTTACTGTTGAGTTCATTTTTGCATTTTAAATTTTGCTATTGTGGTTTTCAGTTTCATTTGGCTTTTATTTGCTGAGACTTTCTGTGTTTCATTTGTTTCAAATGTGTTTGTTATTGCTTGTTGAACCATTTTTATTTTTGCTGATTTAAAAATATTTTTTCAGATAACTCTAACATCTCCATCATCTTTGTGTCATCGTCTATTTTCTTTCAAGTTGAGATTTTCCTGGTTATCACTATGATAGGTGGTTTTGAGTGAAACCTGCATATTTTGAGTATTACGTTATAAGTCTCTAATCACCACTTAAACCTTCTGTTTAGTTGGCTTCCTTTGACACTGCTCCAGCAGAAGGGCCTGACATTGCTGCCAGATAGGGTTAGAAGTTCAGGTTCCCCAAGATGGGGAAGGATTCCCCCTTATTGCTGGGTGGGTGTGGGACCTCTGCCTCTTACTAGGCCTCTGCTGATAGCACCCTGGCTGAGTGGAATGGGACATCTCATTACTGCTCATTACTGACCTCTAGTGACACCACTGGGGGGTGGCCTCATTACTGCTGAGCAGAAGGGAATGCCCTGACACCCCATTTGGCCTCCTCTGACACCACGTCAGCAAGGAAGGAGAGGGATCCCTTTTACTGCAGGGCAGGTATGAAGTCCAGGCTCCTCACATGGTGGTCCCCACTTAAGCCATTGGGGGAGGAGTGTGTAGGGAGGAGGTGGAACTCCCTAGCACCCAGCAACCAGTGAATGTCCAAACTCCCTACTCAACCTTTTACGAAGCATCCCTGTGAGGACTGGGGGCCAGGCACTGTGTAATATCCTTTGGAGGGTGCCCACTCAGCCTTTGCTCTCCTGAGTGGATATGGGTCTGCTGTATTAGGCTGCAGTGGAACAGATATTGTCTAAAAGCTTTCTGTCTTGCTAGGCTACCTATTTCCTGGTCCTTTGGCTGGGGGCAGGCTTCTCTTGGGGCTTTTTGTTCTAAATGTCAGGTTTTTAGTTGTACTTAGCAGGAAGAACAGGGAAAAGTAGGTCTTCTCTGTCTTCCTGAAAACACCAGTCCTGAGCTGTATGTTTTTAGTGTTGGCAGATAGGACAGTATGTTTGCATGCCAGTTTGTGAGGTTCAGGATGGGGAGGGATACAACAGTGCAGTCTGGCCGGGGGTGGGAGCAGGTGGGCTCCACTGTACCTAGCAGGGCTGTAGACAAGTATGTCCTTGAGAGGCTGGGCTTTTATTCTCATTGCTTCTAGTTTTGCCTGCATGGCTATTCTGGGACGTTTTGCTCTTGGAGACATTCCTCACTGTCGCCCTACTGTGTTCTGAATCCCAGTGTCTGACTCCAGCTTGGGCTCTGGCTTGGGTTCAGCCAATAGGAGACTCTTCTGGGCGATTAGGGGATTAGGGAAGGGAGGATGCTCCGCTCTTCTTTGGGGTATCTCTTCTGGGGCTCCAGCTCCTTCCAGAAGTGCTCAGAGTAGCTTCTGTTTCCTTCTTGGACCCTGGCTGATTCGGTCAGTAAAGGGAGCAAGAGGCAGAGGCAGCAGCTGGGAGTGAAAGGGGGATGGGTGTGTGGGGTTTAAGCGGGGAGTGGAGGACAGCAGGTGCGTATACTGCCTGGGGAGGTGTGGTGGGATTGCTGGGCGGTACTGGGGCCCACCTGGGGTTCCTCATATGATGTCATCTGCAGGCATAGGCAGCAAGGAAGGTTTTCTACAGCCATGTTCAGCCGGTGAGAAGGGTTGGGATTTGGCCATGGGTGGCAGACTCCAGGGGCCCATGGTCCCCACCTCCTGGTGTTCACACCCTGGTTTAGTCCTCTCCCTTTGAGTGTGGGCAGGCAGGACCCAGGACTGACCTCCAGCTGACAGAATACAGCAAAGTGGTGGATGTCCACCTGACACGTAATAGCCTATAAAACTCTGCCTCACTGCTGCTCGCTCTCCAGATGCTCCTTGTTGCCTGAGAAGGCAAGCAGACGTACTGGAGGAGCCCACATGGTGAGGATGCAGGAGCCTGTTGGGGTGAAGGGGGCCTCCTGTAACAAAACACCACAGCCAGCAAGAAGCTGCGTCCCTGAGTCCTGCGGCCACCAGGACGTGGATCCTGTCTGCACTGAGTGACCTTGGCAGCAGATTCTTCCCCAGTTGAGCTTCCACATGAAATCACAGCCCAGTGGCCCCTTGAGATCCCAAGCAGACAACCCAGTTGAGCCACCCTGGCCTTGACCCACAGAAACTCTGACATTATACACATGTGTGCTTTTAAACCTGTGTACTTTGTGGTGATTTGTTTTGCAGTAATAAAAAAACTCGTTTATCAGGTAAGTTTGAGAGAATGATTCAGGGCAAGTAAGAGGAGGGTGTTTGCTGGACCACAGAGGTTCCACCAGGAAAGAGGGGAGTGAGGCCTTGGAGAAGGGACATGGCCTGAAAGAGAGTGGACATTTGTTGTACTAAGGGTGGGTGGTATGTTCCTGTGTGAGTCCATTCATGCTGCTGTAACAAAACACCATAAACTGATGACTTACGCCACAAACATCATTTCTCACAGTTTGGGAGGCTGTGAAGTCTCAGATCACAGCACCAGCAGATTCAGCGTCTGGGGAGGGCCCACCTCCTGGTTCACAGACAGCACCTTCCCACTGTGTCCCCACGTGGTGGAGAGAGGAGCCGAGGTCTCCCACGACTCTCGGAAGGGTCTGGAGAGCTCCACCCTCAGGGCCTCTCCAAATCCCAGTCACCTCCCTGACACCCCACCTCCGAACACCATCCCGTTAGAGGGGAGGGTTCCAGCCTCCGAGTTTGTTGGAGGGCACATACACAGCTTGTGACAATTCCAATGGCATGTTCTTCTAAAGAAGCTAGGTGTTTTAGGAGGGGCAATGGCATCCTGGAACTGTCAATGGAGAGCAGGAGGACCCCCTCTGAAGTCTCAGCAGGACCAGTTACATAATTTGTGGGGCCCTTTGTTCAAAAACCAGGGAAAATGCCATTAATGGTACAAAATATAAAGTTTTCCCCTTTCTTCCATAGTCCCTCTCTCCTGGCTTGTCATGGTGCTTTTAAATTGGTATTTAATGTCATTATTCTAAATAAAAATATTTAAATTTTAAATTGTTACTATTACTTTTACTAGTCATCTTTATATCATGCCGTATCAGTTTTAAATGCAAATACTGAAACATTTAGCTCGTGTGTGGAATTTGTGGAATCAGACTTTTTTGTAGCTGGTGTGTACATTTGTACTTTGTTCTTACCAGGCAGTGGAACCATTGTATAAAACAAATGCAACTGTTTTATTTCACTTTTATGATACAAGAACATTCTGCCGACATGGCCTGCCTTCGGCTCACTGGTTTGTGAGTGACCACTCTCAGCATAAGTGGTTGGTTAAAGCAGGGAAATACCAATGGTGAGAAGGATATATGGACTTTCTTGGTCGTTCAGGTTTCTTCGAATGTCATGTCTTTCTGTATTTGAAGTCAGTTCTGGCTCCACCAGGAAGTGTGTGTCTGGGGCTGTCAGTGCCCTGTCTTACTCAGCGGTAGACATGACATGCCTTGTACTTGCTTTGAGTCTCAGCAAACTCCTGTCATCCTGGGTCCACTGGAATTCTGTGCTCCTAGGCACTGTGAAGGTGATGAGGACTGGCGATGCACTATTGTGCTAACTCCAGCCCCAGCACGTGCCTCTGCATCTCACTGCCAGAAATCCAACTCAGCCAAAGTGCACACTGAGTCCTGGCTTCAGGGCAACCCTGGACAGCAAACCAAGCGGCTGCAAGGCCAAAGGTCATTTCTGGTGCTGTAGGATGCTGGAAAAGGTAAAAATAAATAAATAAAAAAATAAAATGGTAAGTGGTTTGAAATATAAGCCCCAAAGTAGGACAGCATGACCTTACAAGTATAGGAATAGTTCTTACTCTTATGGTGGGTATTATTATATTCTCACCAGAAAAATATTAATTTGCTAAATGCAAAAAATGTAAAAATCACAGAAGAGACAAAACCAAAGGAAAAGGACCCCATGGGTGCCGTCACCATCCAGAGGTAGCCACGTTTTGGAGGGTGTGTCTTTTGGGCTTCTGTTCTATGTATGTAATTTATAAATATTTATTTCAATAAAAACATCACAGTGTACCACGTGCCTTAGTCTTTCCACATCCTTAGCATTTCCCAATAGCAAGAACCATCCCTTAGATCATTTTTAATGTAGCACAGAATTTCATGCTGTGCACACATCACAATTTACTTAACTGGCTCTCTGTTGCTGAACACTTAGGCCATTGCTAGTGTGTCCAGAGTTGGTTCCTTCTGGTGGGTTCTTGGGCTCGCTGACTTCAAGAATGAGGCCACAGACCTTCGCGGTGAGTGTTACAGCTCTTAAAGGTGGCACAGACCCAAAGAGTGAGCAGCAGCAAGATTTACTGTGAAGAGCAAAAGAACAAAACATCCACAGCCTGGCACTGGAGCCCAGCGGGCTGCTGCAGCTGGCTGGGGGGGCAGGGGGGTGGTCGGTTTTTATTCCTTATTTGTCCCTGCCCACATCCTGCTGATTGGTCCATTTTACAGAGTGCTGATTGGTCCATTTTATTACAGAGTGCTGATTGGTCCATTTTCCAGAGTGCTGATTGGTGCATTTACAATCCTTTAGCCTGAAGAGTTCTCCAAGTCCCCGCCCCGCCCAGGAAGTCCAGCTTCCTTCTCGCTAGTGTGAAAAGCTCCTGCGTGGCTAGGACGCTGGAACTCGGGAGTCCTCCGTGGGAGCAGCCTTCCCACTGTGTGGACTTCCGAGGTGCAAACGTGAGTCCCCGTGTGCCTTTCATCACGAGTGGTTTTTTTCTGGCTGCCCTAGAGAGAAGACTGGCGGTGGAGCATGCATCTGGAGGGCAGAGACGGCAGGCGGGACCCTGGCACCCCGGAGGTGGAGCTCCTGCAGACGTCCGTGCCCCCGGGACTCGCTGAACTTGCCGCGGGCAAGCGCAGGCCTCCGCGGGGAGCCGGCGGGGCTGACCCCTCGCTCTCCTGCCCCAGCGGGGCCGCTGGGCAGAGCTCCTGGGCTCCTGCAGGCCAGGAGTTTGCTTCATTCCTCACAAAGGGGAGGTGAGTTTGAAATAGTGCCATCTTGTAAATGTGGACTTCACGAAGATTGGGTTTCCGTGAGCATCGTTCCCCCACGTTTGTTGTGGGAAACATTTCCAGAAATTTTCCAAGAATTTTTCCAGCGTTAGATCACTTTCCTGGCTTAGTTTTTGATGACTGATATTTGTAAAATATGATGAGCTTAATTTAGCTCCAAAAGATAATACAAATAGAAAAGAGAGTTTGTAGCATGAAGATTTAACACCTAATGTATTATTTAAGGTATGGCAATTATTCTGCAGTGTTGGAAAGTGTATGTCTCTTAGGACATGCTTTATTTCTATACATATAGCAAGTGAAACTGAGTAGTTTCATGTCAGAAAAGTCGGAATTTACATAAAAGGAAATTTAAAAATATTTTCAACATTTATTTTAGATTCAGGGGTTAAATGTGCAGGTTTATTACCTGGATATGTTGTGTGATGCTGAGGTTTGGGGTACTGCTAATCACCCGGGTAGTCAGCATGGTACCCAATAGTTAGTTTTCCACCCTCCCTCCTCCCGCCCCCGTGTGGTCCGAATGTCCCCTGGCTGCCTTCTTTATGTCCATATGCACCCCAGGGTTAGAGCCCACTTATCATGAGAATATGTGGTATTTGGTTTCCTGTTCCTGTGTTAACGCGTTTGGATAATGGCCTCCAGCTACATCCATGTTGCTGCAAAAGACATGATTTCATTCTTTAAGAGAAAATTTTGATACATCTTTAAATATTTACTTATGTAAAGACAATGAATGGATTTTACATGTCAATCCTTATACTCCAAATCCATAATTTGCAGTTCACGCAGATGTCCTTGTAATGAGAAAAGCAGCATCCTATGGAGTAGATGTCTCTGCCTGTCTTTATTGGGGCATATCGATTACATGGCAGATCTGAGGACCCTCGTTCCCACAGCCGGAGCCCTGACCCCTGCAGTGCTGATGGTCTCTCCAGCCTTTAACAAAGCACCACAGAACTGCATGCGGGTGTGGTGCGTGCTGCTGCTGTGATCCTGCCCCCTCCAGGGGAGCTCCCCAGCCTGCGTGCTCATACTTTCACTGAGTGTTTCTACTGACTTAGAGTCTATGCTGTCGTTTTGCAAATGGTGAAACTTCGAGTTGCTCTCTTTGGCAACCTGTTTCGAGGTTTCTCTATGCTGATGCCTATAGTTCTCGTTCGTTCTTGTGAACTCCTTGCATAGAATTTCATTATGTGAACATGCCACCATTCATACATGTTGGCGGCTTTTCACTTTCTGCTCCTCAGCCCCCAGCATATACTATTAAAAACAGCCTGCAGTAAATGTTCTCTGTTATACACTGAATGTGTTTGTTTCTCCCAGATTCATATTGAATATTCTGAGAATTAACTTTCTCTGGTCCCATGTTGCAGGATCTTCTCCCAGCGAGAGGCTTGCCTTTTCCTTTGCTTTCAAGAGTGTTTTGTTGGGAAGTGTCTAATGTGGCCGGAAGGACTGCATGGCTGTATGCATGGGGAGGCAGATGAGGCAGCAGGATTGTCCCAGCCAGGATGTGAGTGATGGAAGGCTAATGTTCAGCTTCCAGTGAGACAAGAATCAGGAAAACCAGACGAGCATATTTGCAAGTTCTTTGACCTCACTTCTTGCTTCGATGTATGGCGTACCAGGGGCAGACTCGGGCCCGTCGTGAGCTCCACAGTCAGGAGGCCCTGGGCACCCAGGCAGGATTCCAGGTGGAGGAGAAGGGAGGGCGTGGAGAGGTGCTGACAGGTGCAGGACTGTGGGGGCAAGAGCTGGCAGATGTGGTGGTCCAGTGAAGGGACGGCGGAGGGTGCCCCGACCCCACAGCCTGCCCAGGGCACGGGGAGGGGGTGTTGGGATGGCACTGGCAACTATCTAGGCTGAGTGCGGAGATGCCAGAAGGTGCCACCCGTGTCCACAGGCATGAGCCCTCACAAGTGAGCAGCACCTCCCATGTGGAGCTTCTCCCAGGAGGAGCAACAGGGAACTGCAGCCTCAAGGGGCGGCTCTCAGCACCACGAGGAGAATGGCGTGTTGGCCCAGCCCACCCACGGTGAGGAATCTCGGGGGAAGGGCTCACTGGTGTGAATGTCTGAGTACGGAGGGCACAGGCTGTTGCCCACGTGCACCTAGGCGAGCCGCCTGAAACAGCACATTCCTGGGCAGGTGTGGGGCCGTGTGGCGTGGTGGCCATGTGTGCAGTATCCCAGCACTGTCATCTCAAGCTGAAGGTTACTGAAGGGTTTTATTACATTTTGCCTTGTTTCATGAAAATAGGCAGAAAATGAAAAAACAAAACAAAACAACATTCTTATTAGAGGGAAGATACGTAAGTCTTTGAACCTAGCATAGGTGGGAGTCTTAGGTATGTGGAAACCAGCAAACCCCTTAGCCTCAGTGAAGTCGAACCCATCTATTACGGGTTCAGTTGTGGAGAATGACCAGAGTGAAAGAACACTATGAGGTGCTGCAAATAGATTGCTTCAGACTCTGTTGAAAAGGTAACTTGGGGCACTGAACTGGCCTGTGTTTTAGCTCTCAGGGAACCATCCCCTTGCAGCTTGGTTTTCTGTTGTTTGTGCAGGGGAGAAGCAGGCAGAGGCTGCAGCCTGCCGTGTTCCCTTTTCCCTTTGGCTCCCAGGCAGCTCAGGTGCAATTTCTTGGGTCAGTTTCATCACCTGTGTACAAACTGATAAGTAGGTATTTTCTTAAAATGGTTAAAATCTGTATGAAACAAGGCAGGATATACATATAAAGAAAGCTGGGAGAGTGAATTCATAATCTATTGCCAGGTAACAGGTTTCTCCCAAACTTAGCAGCTAAAAGAGTACATATTTATTTTCTTAGTTTCATGGGTCAGAAATCTGGGCACAGCTGACCTAGGTCCTCTGCTCAGGGTCTTCATAGGCTGGGACAAGTTGTCAGCTAGAGCCATAGCATCTCAGTGTTCAGCTGGAGCAGGATCCACTTCTGAGCTCTTCTGTGTGGTTGCTGGCGGGCTGTGGTTCTTCCTGGGCTGTGGGACGGATGGCCTCAGTTCCTTGCTGGCTGTTGACTGGAGGCCACCTCAGCTCCTTGCCAGGGGCCCACTCCATCTGGGCAGGCACAAGGGATAGTCCTTTGTGACCTAATCACGGAGTGACACCATCCGCCCGCGGCTAATGCGATGGCACCATCCCTCTGTATTCTGTTGGTTGGCCAGTCTGGGTCAGCCCACTGGGGATGGGATGGTGGAAGGTGTGAGTACCAGCGGAGGAATGAGTTCCTGGAGCCATAGGAGCTACAAACCCCAGGAGGAATGCGTGGTGAAGGAAATTGTTGTGTAGTACCAGCAGGCCAATTCCTGGGAGCCACTCAGGCACCAGAGCCCCAGAGATGAATCGTGGTGGAAGAAATTGTTGTGAGAAAAAGTTGGAAATGGAACTAAAGATGATTAGTGTCTTTTATAGGAAGTGAAGGGAGGTCTGGAATCCTTCAGTGTGTGCATTTTCACGGTTTGCAACTCATCAGAAAGCTGACAATAATGCAGGTGACTCTTTTCCCCTAGAAAAGTTGGATTGTGTCTGTAGAATGCATTGTTTCAATGATTTGCATTTATTTGTAAGTTCAGAGTTCAACATTGTCACCTGGCTGGAGTGCAGTGGCAATCTCAGCTCACTGCAACCTCCGCCTCGGGGATCAAGTGAGTTCTCTCACTTAGCCTCCCGAAAGTAGCTGGACTGGGCTCGCCTATGCACATCCAGCTAATTTTTAGCTTATTATTTAGTAGAGATGGGGTTTCACCATGTTGGCCAGGGATGGTCTTGATGTAGCCTCTGTTCCACCGCCTCAGCCTCCCAAAGTGCTAGGCTGAGCCTCTGAGCCACCGCTCCTGGCCCAATTCAGCATGTTTCTGATTGCCCATATGTGCTGTGGTTTTACATCTCTTATCAGTTTCCTCTGATTGATGATTAAACAAAGAGATTTAACACATTCATTTCATGTTGGGATGAGAGTCATGGATTTTACCCTCCTTTAACAATAGTCCTATAACAGAGAACCAGCCACAAAGCCTGGAGAAAGCGCAGACTTCATTCTCTAAGGCACCTTGACCCCTTGTCTTTCGGACCGCGCCTGCTCTGTGTCAGCCTGGAGACGCTGCTGGACCTCCTCAGGCTCATTCCCCGTCTTGGCTAATGACTTCACCCTTTGTTAAGGAATCACGTCTTGTCCATTCAGTGTAATGACTTGGGCTCAAACAAAATTACCAAATTAAAGATGAATTTTTTAATCCAATATGCTAATTTTATTCACTTAGAAATGTAACTGGGGCTGGGTGCAGTGGCTCATCTGTAATTCCAGCACTTTGGGAGGCTGAGCAGGCAAATCACACAAGATTGGGAGTTTGAGACCAGCCTGACGAACGCCTGGAGAAACCCGTCTCTCCTGAAAATACAAAATCAAGCGGGCCTGGTGTCACGTGCCTGTAATCCCAGCTACAGGGAGGCTGAGAGTGGAGGGTAAACCCCGACCTGGGAGGCGGGGTTGCAGTGAGCTGACCTTTGCTTTTGTTCACTCCAGCCTGAGCAGCAAAGTGTGAAACTCTCTCCAAAAAAAAAAAAGTAAACTGAATGACATGAACTTCCACACTCTCTTGCTCTCTTTTCCCGTTCCTTTGCTAAAGACAAATCTCAGAAATTTTGAATCAATTTCCTCTGTGTCTCAAAATAGTATATAAGAACGACAGATATACTTAAATACATTTGGTTGTCAGATTGACAGACTAAAATTATCTATTTTTTAAAAGTCAAAGATTGTGTGGGAAGTTTGGCATTTCTAATCATTGATAATTAATTTTTCTAATTGTTTTCTAATCAAAAGAATTAGTGTTGTAAAATTTGCCCTTTCAAAATTAGCTAATTTCCTTTCGGTCTTCCATTTATGAGGAATATATATGATGGAAAGTTGGACAGGGAAGCAAATGAGAGAGAATATGTTAA